CTGAAAAGCTCAAAAAATGCATTAAATGTGACAATTAAATGCTTGTTTTTAGACAGTTACAAAATTTAAGGCATTAAAGCATTTAATACACAATTAATTACATAATCTTCGACGACCTAGGAAGAGAACAAGACAAAGAGAAATCTTACTAAAATCTTTAACCAGATATAAATAAGTTTCCTACTAAGGGCTTCGAAGGGTCATGTTTCTTTCATACGCTGTTTATAGCCTATCATCCCAACTGATGGACATTCTTTAACAATCGTGTGCAAAATAATTTTGCCGAAAATCCAGCAAGCACTGTAACAGAAATGGGCGAGTCCAGGTCACCACTCAGACTCGAATCCCAGTTTTATATGACCCGGACTCGAGGCGAAAGACTCAATAAACTTAATAAACTGACTTGAGTCCCTTTCGAGTCGGTCAAGTGCAACTTTGGATTATTATGACGGCGTTTATTATATTTTAGTAGAAGGAGGTATTGGTTCGAATCGTATCTTTCAAAAACAAAATAACTATTCTGTTTTATTCGAACTAGCTAAAATGTTTCTGTCTGTTCCTGCAAAAGAAAATTGAATTATGTGGTACCCACCTTTATATCCAGGCTTTACAAAAAAAGAGGTTAGATAACACGTAGCAAATGTTCAACAAAATGAGTACAAACGAATGCTTAATAGTGAGCTTCAAGTTGTTCTTGGAAAAATGAATCAGGAGGAATTTTCCCTCTAGAAAATGATCCAAAATGACTCGAGTCAATTTTTGATGCGCCCCGGAGTCGGACTCGACCCAGACTCGAAAAAGTACTGACTCGCCCATCTCTGCAGTGTAGCAGAGTGCACTCTAAAAAAAGCGTCGTTTACTAAACCTTAAAGGGTTTAGTAAGCGAACTAAATCCCATAAAAAAAAACCCGAAAGGTTTTTCCGAAAGGTTTATCATCAAGCTTAAACCTTTAAAAGTTTTTTAACAAGGTTTAGAACGCTTACTAAACCCTTAACAGTTTTTTACGAGAGGTTTACTAGGAAAAAAATGTTCTGTTTTAACTCAAAAGGTTTTTCATCTAGTATCTTTTCTTATCTTACGGTTATGATTTATTCTGACAGAATACACAAAAAATTATATAGGATGATCAATGTCATTGCGTACAGGAGAACTAGCTATAATGATTAATACATTAATAATTTATGGAAAAAATTCTGAATTTTTGATTTCTCGAAACAGAAAGAGATTGAGCAATTATTTCCAAATCCAGAACTTTTGTGTGACATATCTTTGTTAACATGTGCGTAGAAAACAAAATCTTTAAAAAACATCAGACAACATCGGATACTCGATATAAATAAAAATAATCAACATAAAATGTAAAAAGTAGCTTTACATTTACAAACATTTGTCAAACATGAATAGTTCATTGTTAGAAAATTCATATCACATTTGAAAAGACTATAGGCTCTGGGGAAAATGCCGCACATGCTGGGACTTTTGGTTGATAATTGTTTACGATATCCCATTCGGAAATAAAGGCAGATGTTCTATTGTTGTAGTTGAAAGTGAACAGATTGTTACTGAAGAGTTGAGATACGACTCTCTTTATAGTATTGTACAAGATTTTTTATTTTTATGTTGTTCAGATGTCTTCACTGAATATTCGTTCGTCGTTTTCTTACCTCTTTTATTTTCGAAATCTTTTTCCACTGTTGTACGAGATGTCGATGCGATTGGTGGTAGTTTTTTAAAACGACCATTATTTTTTGAACTATTATTTCTCGTATGTCTCTGACGTTCTAAAGCACGATGACTAGCCAACTGATCACTTTGAGTTGATGATGGAATAGACGGATCATATGTTCCTAAAATTTGATCTCGATATTTTGTATCGTGTTCACAATGAAAAACGTTTTTCTGACGACAAAGAGCACATCGAAAATCTTCACGAATCGGTAAGTTGTTATTATAAGCTACAGCCATCGATCAATACATATATAGCAGCAGCAGCAGCAAAAAAATAACGAAATAATATTAATTCAATGCTTACAACAAATCAACTGTGTACCAATAACTATGCGCCTAAATTACACCAAATTAAATATGTATTACATGAGGAAATATTACAGTTTATAAGCTTTAGCTAGAATTTCCATGAGTAATTTAAAGTTAAAAGGTCAGTGAGGATAATAGTTAGCGTCCATCAGATAGACTTTCTATTTATTCTTCACTACTTCCGTAAAGTTTGTGGCAATACTCTTAAGGAACCACTAGACAATAAGCAAGAGACTAGTTAAGCGAGCCGTTAAGCTTGTCAAATAGAATAAAAAAATCAACGAGAACAAATAATTCATCTTATTACACTGTAAAAAATAGTCGTAGATTAATAAACTATCAAAAAGAGTTTATTGAGACCAATAAACCTTTTAAAAA